TGTGGAATCAAGCTGTAATCAAAAATAAAAAAAATAATAAATTGTTCACGGGAAATATGTCATATTTCATAATTTATCCATAAAACCACGGCAGGAGTATTCACCTCTTAAGTGAAGCTACTTAGAGGCCTTTGTTGAGGGGACTGGGTGGTTATCACAGTAGGGGACTATGGAGTCATAGACTTGAACCTACAATACCTAATATGATCAGCAGGAAAATTAGAATCCCTTCAAAATCTATACCTGAATGTGTTACCTGCAGCACCTGCTAATGATCTAGCAAATTTAACTGTATGTATTTTATACTAGTCCCTTGAGGGTATATGGAAAATTGGCAGGCTTACCGAAGCTAGTCTTACCCAAGAAGACCTGAAGATAAAAAATAAATGGATAAGTGGAACAATTTCTTGTTAAAATGTGGGAAAATCAACTTTTTTGTCTGCACAAAAGAGGAATATTTCGATTCAGCCAGATGCTTTTAAGTCCGAGACCATTAGAAAAGAAAGCGCACGTCTTACATTTTACAGTTTATATTTTTTTTAGGATAGTAGGCTATATGCCTGTGTTAATCCTTTCGATTTATTGCACACAGGAGGTCCAATCTCGCCTTGAATGAATCAACGGATGGCGCTGATACGACATGTTCCGGTAGGGAGTTCCAATGGTTCACAATTCGATGCGAAAAACGGATTTCCAGACGCAGACGATTCGACCGTGGTTTTTGAACCTTGAGGTGATGTCCTCGCAATTGGTTGGTGCTAGAAGGAAGAAATAATTTAGATAAATTAGCTCCAAAATCATTTCTTAGGATACGGTATGCTAGTATTAGGTCACCCCTAAGTCGTCTGTATGACAGTGGAAATAAACCCAGTCGACTTAACCTCTCCTCATATGACAGGGTTGAGAAACCCTTTATTAGCTTAGTTCCTACTCTTTGCACCCTTTCTAATAAGTCTATTTCGTATTTGAAACACGGGCTCGCTGCCTGGATCCCATATTCCAAATGAGGTCTGATATAAGTCGGATATAATATACGAAATATATCAGCGTCAAAGTTCGCAAAAGCCTTGCGTATGGCCCATAACATTCGAAAACCCTTAGTGGCTGCAGTTCTACAGTTTGTTGCTGTTTTCAAGTCATGCTGCACAACCACTCCCAAGTCCTTGTACTCAGTGACCACTGGGAGAGTAATGCCATTCATTGAGTAATTGTGCACGTGACTATGGGATACATGCATAACTACACTCTTGCTTAAGTTAATCTCCAAGGCCCAGTGCTTACACCAATCACTTAACAAGTTTAAATCTTCCTGCAAAGCAAGTTGATCACTGTCATCGTGCAAAGCCCTCCATATCTTGATGTCATCAGCAAACAGTAAGCAGGATGACTTAACTACCGATGGAATCTCATTAACATAAATCAGGAAAAGAAGTGGGCCTAGAATTGTACCCTGAGGAACGCCACTCTTAACCGATTCCCATGTTGATAAAACCCCGTTAACTCGTACTCTTTGTCTTCTGTCCTTTAGAAAGTCTTGAATCCAGTCGGTAACCACTTTATTGATTCCCAGACTACCTAACTTTACTAGAAGACCTGAATGAGAAACCCTGTCAAACGCCTTGCTAAGGTCTATGAATATGGCATCCACCGGTATATTAGCATCAGCTGAGCTTGCCCAACTTTCTCTGGCCAAAAGAAGGTTGGTCAAGCAAGAATGACCTGCTCTAAAACCGTGCTGTTCCACAGCGAAAAGTTTGTTCCCTTCAATGAACTGAATGATAGCATCACGAATTATTCTTTCTAGTAGTTTAACAACAATACTGGTCAAACTAACAGGACGATAGTTCTGAACTAAGTTTCTAGATCCGGTTTTGAAGACCGGACTAATGATGGCATCTTTCCAGTCTCTTGGACATTTAGACTGGTCCAGAGACATATTGAAGATTACCGACAATGGCTCGGCTATGCTTTCAGCCAATGCTGTTAATATACGTGGGTGGAGTTCATCAGGGCCACTGGACTTACCAGGATTGAGCCTTAGAAGCCACTTTAGGACAGTATCCTTTCCAATGTATAAGGGTGCCATTTTCAAGTTACCTTCTGGAAAATTTACAAAGCTGGTATCAATATTATCAGAGAATACTTGACTAAAGTGCTTGGACAAAGCCTCAGCCTTAGTCAAGTTATCCTCAGCCATGTTTGTCTGGTCATCTTCAAGCATAAGAGGTGGGATAGCATCACTCTTACGTGTTCTTCTCTTGATATATGAGAAGAGTCTTTTTGGGCAGCCTGGTGAACTTTTAACTAACTGGGTTTCGTAAGCTATCCTTGACTGGTGGATCAAAGTTTTACACTGGTTTCTGGTTTCACAGTATTTCAGCCGGAACTGCTGTAGCCCAGTAGAAACAAAGAGATTCCAGAACCTTTTTCTCCGTCTCAGGAGTGTTATAGCTTGTCTATTTATCCATGGTGGCCGATTTGTTGGCCTTTTAGGAACCCTCCAGGGGATGAGATCAGTGGTAACCCTCTCAAGTGTATTCTTAAATCTATCCCATTCATCTTCAATGGATGAGACAATGTTGACTGACCAGTCGGCAGTTGAAGCACGCTCCTTTATAGCCACTATGTCAGCATGCCAAACACTAGGCCGGGATTTGGGTTGAAAACTGACTAAATTGCCAGCCCTTAAGTTAAAATCTAACACCCCATGATCACTGTTTGCTAGAGGTGGATGAATAACTAGACCATCCACGTCGTCGTTGTCATGAGTAAGCACTAAGTCCAGCAAGGAAGATCCTTGGGTAGAACCGAATCTTGTACTACCTAAGACATGTTGTGTCAGGGCATTTTCCATGGTTGTCAAGAGTAACCGGCTGTCAAACTTATCAGCGGATCCTGGAGATGTGACAGCTACCCAGTCTATATGAGGTGCATTAAAATCACCTAGAATAAGACAGCTACTGTGTTTACTCCATTGTTTGAGGTGATCTAAAATGAAGTCATCACACTGACAATAGGGACTTCTATACAGAACTCCAATGAGTAGAGTGCCGGTTGCAAAGCTTACTTCACAGCTAATTACCTCACCTGTCCCACTGTCATGAGCTTCAGATTTCACGGAACGAACATGTAGGGAGTTGTTGATGTACAGAGCAACCCCGCCACCTCTACGACCCTTAACCCTGTCGCTGCGCAAGCAACTAAATCCGCATAGCTCAGGTGTGTCATCTAATCCCGAAACCAGCCATGTTTCAGTAATGGCCACAATACCTGGGCTAAGGTCTTCTACTAATACACCTAGCTCGTGAAATTTGTTCCCGATACTACGTATATTAGTGTACACTACCTTCAGGCTTCCTATGCGGTCTGGCTTATCCACACAGGTCTTGGAAGCATACGTTTCCAAGACCTGACTATTTGAAAACCCACCAGTTTAAGGTTAGTCTCACCATTTTTACGTCTTGTTTCTAGCTGGGACAAAACTTCTTTTCGTTTAAGTCTGTCTTCAAGAGATAAATCAGGTCTGGCTGAAATTCCTGACCCGGCAAGGTTGTGTACATTAGCCAGTAGATGATTCCGTTCATCAGGAGAACCTAAGACTACTTTAAGCAACCTACGCTGACTAGAACATTCATCATCTCTTTTGCCTATTCTAATCAGCTTTTTAATCGATACTCCAGGGAAATTCGCTGGGAGCATCTTCCTTATAATACTACTCACTAATTTAAGGTCGTGATCGTGCCTTTTCACGGGATCAGATTCTTTGGACTCTTCCAAATTTCCAACAATTATGTTAGAGTCTAAGGAGAGCTTGTCGTATTTAGCAGTGGCTACGTCCTTTCTCACCACTATTGATGCAGCCTGGCTACAGGTGACAGACGTTTGCCTACCATCAATATTACTATATTTCTTCCGACTGCTTATTTTTGTTACCCATTTATCATCTGCCTGCAGTTGCTTCTCAGGGCTGCTGCAGTTTTTGATGGTACAATCAAGATCAGTGTCTGCACCACCTTCATGGTGAACTTCGCTTACGGTGTTCTCTGGTTCTGAGATGCTGTTTACAGCTTCCGTTTTGTTACCTTTTCGCTTACTAAGACGCTTCGAACGCCTAGTAGGTTTTACTTCCGGGGTAACTGGGATAGTAACCGCCGGTGTGATAACATTCATGATGGCACTTACTGCGTCATCTTCAGACGGGCAGTCCGTGTCACTCTTACTAGCCACGCTATCATCAGGAAGTTCCATGGCTTTAGACAGCAGTTCGTGAGCCTCCCTTATTAAGGTCATCTTTGGGGAACAACACATTCTGCACATCCAGTGGGATGTTGGAGCAGTACAACGTTTGTATGCAGCTGGACGTAATCCAGTACACATCTTATGATACCACTTTTCACAGTTATTACACTGTATTCCATCATCTACCAAAAAGTAACACTCCGCCCTATTACATTTATGTGGTACTTTTGACATAATGAACTTCTACTGGAAACAGCCAAGACAATTTACCCAATATAGACTATATAAGTGGTTAAAATCAAAACTTAACAGACAAAAGTCAAGTTAAAGTTTTTTTAAAATGTTCTTGAAGTGAATAACACAACAAAACAGCGATTTGTCAAAAACGTGAAATACGTGAAAAAAGCACTCCCTTTCAAACAGCGCGCTAAACGTGAATTATTTGGGCTTATGTATTTAGGGAGTAATGATGCATTCTTGCTTCAATTCGTCAAAGCGAGAATGCGTCATTACTCCATATATGTGTGAATAGCTTAACCATCTGGTTCAATTATGTATTTATGTCAAAAGGAAAACTAATGCCACTTAGTATCCCTAGATTTGCGCAAAGATTAGGCCCTAATAGATAATTTAATTTTCAATGATCTAGGGAGGTCAAGATAAGTGACTCGTCATCCCTACTTACTATAAAACGAAGTATTAAGCAATCAAGTGAAGATTGAAACATTGTATATTGAATATTGAACTTGTTATTTCATGTCATGAATATAATCTTCGTCAGCGGTCTCAAGGTCTCCACTTCTAAAATGCTCTCCTTGTATCTTTTGCTTATCTTTTCAGTCACTTCTTGTTACGGATACTATACAGTTATAGATGCTAATTCAGAAGAATGCTTTTTTGACCGTGTTAATAGTGGCAGCAGGCTTGCATTATATTTTGAAGTCGCTGAAGGTGGTTTTCTTGATATAGATGTTGCTGTAAGTTTGACACGTTGTTAGTAATATCGATAGGTGTACAATCCTACTGGTGTCAAAGTATTTGAAGCTCTCAAAAAAACAAATGGAAAGCCTGAGTTCCTTGCGAGCGAGTCTGGGGATTACAAGTATTGTTTTGGAAATCGTATGAGTTCCATGACACCAAAGGTGGTTCTTTTCGAAATGGCTGTAGAAGAAGATCATCTAAAAACTAATGAAAGCGATGATGGCAAGTTACAATTTTCACCATTATTTCTCAACAGAAGCTCATAAAAAACTGGTGTCTATGGTTAATGAACTATCACATTCCATCTCTTCAGTTAAATTAGAGATGGAATATGTAAGCCTGAGAACACAACTACATTGGAATAGTAAGTTCACACACTTTTTGGTAACTGTTTCTTTCAGTTAACAGAAACACGAATTTCCGTGTGGTCATTTGGGCAGCATTTGAATCACTTATAATCGTCGCAATGAGCATTGGTCAAGTATTCTATCTCAAGCGTTTCTTTGAAGTCAGGAGATTAGTTTAAAATATTAAAGATTTGTGCACATATGACCGTAGGTGCTTCCAATGTTTTTTGTCACACCTTCAAAACCCATTACTGTACAGTAAATCGTTTTTGTGTCTTTGTTTTTTTGTCTTCGGATATTCTGGGCTTTGGATACATTTATTGTATTACCAACAAGGCTTTATTCCATTAAATCTAACAGTTACTTAGTATTATGACTGTTCCACCTTATCTTCAGCTATGATATATTTAATTTTTACTATTTTCCATATAAAAAACACTTGGTTTATTTTGGAATTGCATTTTTCCTGTCGACCGGAAAATCAATGCTTAGGTGATATGATCTTGTGGTTTTATGCCTGTTTAATTTTCGAATAATCTCCATTCTGAGGAATGTTGTTTATTGTACATGCCTTGCTCCCGTTTCTGTGATTAATATTAGACGTATAATCTATTATAAGTTAATACAGGATTCTTAGTGTTTTCTATAGTTTGGTTTGTAAAGGTTGGTTATGTTTTTACGAGTTGATCACGGATTGATATCAGTTGGAGAACCATTGAAAACCTGCAGGGAGTACTGGACAGCTGCTGTTTCATCCTAGTTTAGGGGAATATTGCATGACTAGAACAAAGATTATCTGATGTTTCAAACAGTTGGTGAGCTGACAGTAGCTGACTGCCGTTATATGCATTATTGCTAAATATGCTGTAATAAATAACACAATAGGTTTATTGTGGTCCGTGTAAGAGCGTATTGTTGATAGTAATATAAGACTTCTACACCTTCATTGTTCTTAGGTTTCTTGAAAGCTGCACTTCAGCTGTTGACACAAGTAGTCATCTAATGGGCGCTTAAAAATTCATTACTTTCTGTTTGTAATTTGTGTACTCTAACTTTACTAATAAGTGGTAATGTGTTTCATACATCCTTGGGACTGTTTGCATGAGTTGAACTTCAGTTCCTAGCTTTTGTCTATTTTTATTTTTTGGAAAAATTAATACTAATACTGTTGGTTGACTAGTTGAAGCGTAGGTCATTGGTCTGTAAACATATTAGCATGAAAGAGTGTGTGGATACGGTGATAATGATGAGTGAGTATCTTGAGACCGAAAATCATTAGATATACAAAAAATTGGCTGCAATTTATGCATATTGTTGGCTTAGACTTCTTCATACTTTTTTTCGTAATATGCCTTAACTTGTCCATCTTTTCCGCTTAAAAAGTCCGTGTAATGTTATTCTGCTGATTTATTATGTTGGTTTCTTATGCTTTCAATAAAGATGTGACAATTTACAGTTTTGCTAGAGTATCGTGTTGTAAATTGTTTTTCTAACCTTCACTCTTGGTTTTGTATAGTCCTGCTGTTGATTAGCTTAATAGATAAAGGATCTAACTTATGATTAGAAGATTGCAGTTTCGAGTGCCGTCGGAGTCTAGATTTGGAGGCCGAGATAGCTTAGCAGGGTGGATATAGATGTCCCGGATGCGATCCCGGGTCTGTCTGTCTGTCTGGATTCAACATAGAACTTGGCACCAGAGTGCAGCAGTTCGAGTTGCCACGTTCCAAATAGCACACAGAAAGGTAGACAAGAAGATGAGTGAAGAGAATCAATAGAGTTTGACAAGTATTAAGTGAAACAGAATGGGTAATGGTAGAAAGGAATATGAAAGATTACAGAGACTGAATACATCTGCGCCATTGACAACGATTTTGAGCCATGTCACCTATTGTCTCCAGCCATTGATTCCTAGAGTCCCGAGGCCCCCAACCCGGAAGTCTGCATCTCCCTACCTGACTCAGTTTAACTGTCAAGGATTTCATGGATTGATGAGGCCATGTTTTTGTTTGGCCACCACTGGCTCTTTTCCAACCTGCACCTATACCAGCTAGCAATGCCCGTCGGGGGAGGCGATGGTTAGGCATGCGCAGCACGTGACCTAGCCATCTTAGTCTATGTAACTTTATAGCCTCGTCGATTGATTTTCCCTCTTTGCCCAACACTCTACGCCTAACGTCAACATTACTTACCTTATTAAACCACCTAACGTGAGAAAGAGATCGCAGACATCTATGATCGAAAGCAGTCAACCTTTTCATGTCTTCAACTCGTATTGGCCATGTTTCAGAGCCATAGAGAAGGACGGAGCGAACTGCTGAGCAGTACACACGTCCCTTGGTTGATAACCGGATGTCACGCCTACGCCAGAGATGGTGTAAGTCAGCGAAAGCAGCTCGAGCTTTTCGGATCCGTGCTGAGATTTCATCGCCAATCAGTCCGTTGGTGCTAATACAACTTCCCAAATAGGTGAAGTGGTCAACATGTTCTATCACTTCACTCCCTATCACTAAGTTAGGAGTTGACGTGGTCCAGTCCTGTAACAGCATCTTACATTTTGTAGGGGCGAATCGCATGCCAAACATACGAAGATTGCTGCTCAAGGTGTTCAGAAGACTGCTGGATTTTGTCAGCATCCTCCCCTAACAGGACTATGTCATCTGCATATTCTAAGTCCATAAGACTATTCCCTGGTAACAAGTCGATTCCTAAGTCGTTCAGTTCAGTTAAGGATACTTCCATTAGCATATCTATGATGAAGTTAAACAGAAATGGGGAAAGTGGACATCCCTGTCGGACACCACTGGTTGTTATCAATTCAGATGACAATTCCCCATAAGCCCTTACACGACTACGTGAGTTTGAATAGAGTGCCTTGATTAGTGCAATGTACTTTCTTGGCACTCCCTTCACAGTCAGACATTGCCATAGTACCTTTCGATCCACGGAGTCGAAGGCCGCCTTCAAGTCAAGAAATATGACAATTGTTGGACGCCGAAAAGTGTGTCTATGTTCTAGAATCTGTCGAAGAGTGAAGATATGATCTATGCACCCTCTACCTGGTCTAAAGCCTGCTTGATTTTCCCTTGTCTGTTCCTCCCGAGTTCTGCTTAGTCTATGCATGATTACTGAGCCTAGGATTTTAGAGACTATGTTCGTTAGGCTGATCCCCCTATGATTATCACACGAGGACTTGTTTCCCTTCTTGAATATCGGTATAATAAGTGACTTACCCCAGTCTGATGGTACTGTCTCTGATTCCCACACTTTGCCTAGTACCTCAGTTAATCTACAAACTAGTATGTCACCCCCATATTTAAACACCTCCGGAATAATTCCGTCGGGTCCTGCCGCTTTGCCTCGTTTCAAATTACTGATAGCTTTTGTAACCTCACTTACAGACGGCGGACCAGTGTCTATATCCCATTCGGGTGTGGGGTGGATGGCGGGGAGGTTCAGTGTGGCTGTAGGCAAGTTAAATTGTTCCTCAAAGTGTTCTTTCCAGCGTTCAAGGCGTCTATCCTGAGAGCTAATTAAGGAGCCATTTTTCTCAGAAATAGTCTCACTTATGATTTGCCTTCCCCACCCGTTTCCCTGATGAGTCTAAAGAGTTGCCTAGTGTTGCCTATCGCCGATGCTTTTTCCATCTCTTTCGCCTTTGTCACCCACCACTGTTCACGGTCCTTGCGGAGACTTTTAGTAAGTTTCCTTTTGTGCAGCTTTCGCTCCTCATTGAATTCGGAGCTCGCCGGAATAAGTCTTCTAGCATCTATCAGTTCGGATGAGGCAGTCGAAATCCAGTGGTTTTTACTCACCTTTGGATTTGCCTTATTCACAGCTTTTACAGCTGTATCTATAGCTGACTGAATATTCTTCCAGGCTTCTTCAGGGTGAGCACAGCTGTCGAATTCAGATATGCGTTTAGCTAGTTCTTCCTCAAATAGGGATTTAGTTTCCTGATCGAGCTGGGGACGTGATGGTTTTACCGCCAGCTGTTTCCTACGTCCGTTCAGTCGTAAGCACACACGAGCCCGGACCAGTGCGTGATCGGTATCTACACACGTGTTCCAGAAGGAGCGACAATCTCCTACCGACCCACGCCAACGATAGCTTATTGCTATGTGGTCTATTTGTGTCCAGCGTTGGTTTGATGAAGGGGGTCGCCAAGTCAAACAGTGTCTCTCCTTGTGTTTAAAGTTAGTGCTTACAAGAAACAAATGATTATCTGAACAGAACTGTAGGAGACGGTCACCGTTGTCGGTTCGCTGGCACGGGACTCCATAGGTGCCACCGACATCCTTCTCAGATTGACACAATTTCCCTACTTGAGCATTAAAGTCACCAGCTAGAACGACTATATCTGAGCGTTTAGCGTTTCTCACCAAACTAGACAGCTTTTGGTAGAACTCATCCTTCGTTTCATCCGAACTGCAGTCAGTGGGGGCGTAGGCGGAGATTACGAAAAGGCATCGGCGAGTAGTGCAGTCCTTTCTCCTTCTTACTGATCCGTTCAGACGGACAGCACACATTCGGCTATCTACTGGGATCCAGTCAAGTAATGTCTTTTCTGCCCTAGCACTCAAAGCTATCCCTACGCCAGCTAATCCTCGTGAACTAGCTGTGGCATCTCCTGACACCCTCAAGGTGAATTTTGAAGATTCATCCTGTTGGCCAGGTGGGGTTAGGTGAATAACCACACTTGGGTCTTGTATCCGTGTTTCTGAAACACAACATACATCAATGGCTCGTGATGCCAGGGTCTTAGCTAGTGATGCTTGTTGTCCTATTTGGCAAAGTGTCCTAACATTAAATGCTCCTATATGAAATTGGTGGCGTGGCTTTAGGAGACTATCGGTGGTTTTTTGGCTTCCGTCGTTTTTAGTGGACACAGAGTGAAGAGGGAGTGTCCTGCGTGTAGGTGAGTATTTTGTCAGCAACCCTACCATGTTGAAAACACGGGTTTTCATCCACTCATCGAAGTTTTTTGAACCCGAATAACTCAGTAGTAACGTCTCTGACTGTAATACTTGGTGACGCGAGTTCGAATCTCAAAAGGGATATGGGTTCCTCGCTGATGACTGCCAGGAAGTACGAAACCTGGGTTCAGAGCTTCCTGCCGATTACCTACAACCATCTGACAATATCATTGTGTGCGTCGGTGGTTGGGGGTAGAACG